CCACCAAATCAAATCTAAAAACTCCAAAATCTAAAGTTCCCTAAGTCACACCTGTAATACTTTAGTTTGAAATGTGTTCAGTATTTATTAGTATCTCATTTTTGCTTAATGATTCTCTAGCAACTGATTGTTCAAAAGAAAGAAACTTACAGTGTTTACTATAGTTGAAGAATCTTTGCATGTATGTTTATTTTCCCATACTGGCATTATAGCGGTAGGGCTCAGTAAACAGAAGTTGAACGTGACAGTCCTTGAGGATGAGCATCCAACCTTGTGTAATATTAGTGAATGATTCCTTTCATTTGGCTCCTGGGCATAAGTGTGAAGTGTTCTAAAGAAATTGTACTCTGATAAGCTACTTCTCAAAGGAGGGATGGTTTTCGTTTACTATGACATTATCAAAATGTAAACAAATGGATTTCTTTTCCTTGTGAGTAGTGTATTTCTTAATCTCTCATCTTTCAACATGTTTGTTCTCTGCTGTGTTCTATAAAAGGTTAGGCTGTTTAGGCTTAGTCACTGTGCTTGGGGGCAACATTTACAGTGATACTTAAGTAGCGGAGTTTTATCCAGATGAAATAGGGCTGCTGGCTATGAAACCTGGCAGCTGTTCTCCTGCATCATAGTATCTGTAATTTTAGTTCATAACTCTTAAGTTTCTTACTGCCACTCGATATTCATTGAAATCAACCATTTAAAATATTATTTTTATTTTATGTGTATTTGTGTATTGCCTGCATGTAGGTAAGTGCACCCATGTCACTGCAATGCCCACAGAAGACAAGAGACTGTTGGATCCCCTAGAACTGGAGTTATGGACAGTCGTTAGCTGCCATGTGGGTAGCAGGATTTGAACCCAGGTTTTCTGCAAGAACAGTCAGTGTTCTTAACTGCTGAACCATCTCTCCAGCCCCGAAATCAGCCATTTCTTGATTTTATCATTTGTGCTACTTTGTGTGCAAATTGGTTAAGACGATCCAACCGTCATAACACTTGCAGGAAAGTGACTGGAACTGGAAAACATTATGTTAAATGAAATAACCCAGAATTGGAAAGACAAACCATATGCTTTCTCTTGTATGTGGAATGTAGAACCTAAGTTGTATGTGTGTGTGTGTGTGTCTGTGTGTGTGTGTGTGTGTGTGTGAGAGAGAGAGAGAGAGAGAGAAGGAGAGAGAGGAAAAGAGAGAGCGTGGATATGTGCACTTTTGTGGGACCATGAGAGGGAAAGAGATTTTATTTATTATTTATTTATTTATTTTCCTTATTTTTATTGAAGTTTTGCGATTTCCAGACAATATAATTTGATGACATTTTTATCCCCCTTCCCATCCATTCCCTCCCCCCTTAATTCAATATACTGTCTCTGGGTAATAAAACCTATGGAGTCTAACTTGAATCCCCAAATGTTCTCCAACATGGGTTCATCTACTCGAGCTTGCATATGACTTGTGCATGCTGTAAACATTGCTGTGAGGTCATATGAGTAACTGGCCAGCTGTCTGGAGAACTCTAGCCCTCCATGGTCAGCTACCACCTCTGGCTCTTACAATCTACCACCTCTGGCTCTTACAATCTTTCCACCTTGCTCTGCAATGATTTCAAGTCCTGAGCTCCAGAAGCCTGACAGAGGCATCCCACCAGAGATAAGCGCTCTGTAGCCCAAGGAAGAGATTTTAAAGAGGGGAGAAGGGTGTGGGGATAAGGAAGGTGGAGGAGGGGGATGAATTACAACAAATCACAGTGACAGATGCATTAAACTGCTACAGTGAAACTAACTACTTTGTATATTATCTTAAAAGTTTAGTTACCTTCTAGGTGTGGTGGCGCCTATAATCCCAGCATTCACAGTCCAAGGCAGGTGGATCGAAGTGAGTCTTTATAGTGAGTTCCAGACTGCCTGGGGCTATAGGGAGCCACCCCCCCCCCTTCCAAAAAAATAAAACCCCACAAAAATTCAGTTAACACACCCATAAATAGAATATACCTTTAACATGAAATATGTATCTTATATCTCATTAAATTTGGATTTAATATAAAAAAGTAATCCAATATACCTATAGTTGATATTACACGAATATCATGGAAAACCTGAAGGGAAAAACAAAAAGACTAGCAAGTACAAGAAATTTCTTTGGGCCCATTTGTGAGTTTGAGTACATTCCCTCCTTATTTGTTGTAGTTGCTTTTGGTTGTCACTGACTCTTCTGCTGGTGATCAGTCTGTCTTCTTAACTTTCCATGTAGAGCAGCTTTCTCACTCTTGCTTTTGCTGTCCATAGTCTGTGGGAGCCCTTCTGTAATTTTCTCGAAGCGCATTCGTTTTTCTTTCCCTTCACACTTGCTGTTCTGTGCCCTTCTTCTAATGTCTCTTTGCAGTCAACTCTTTTCTGTCTGCAATCTGTTCTCCACCCAGGAGCCAGAGTGTTTATGTACTTTTAATCTGGACCTATTATTCTCTTATTTAAAAGATTCCAGGGAAATGGATCAGTTGCTTGTTGTGCAAACATTAGGAGCTCAGTTCAATCCCCAGAACCCACATTAAAAACTTGGGTGTGGTGATGTATGCTTGTCATCACAGCACTGGGCTGGCAGAGACAGCCTGATCCCTTGGTGATTCACTGGCCAGCCACCCTGGCCTAATTGGTGAGTGTCAGGCTAGTTTCAAAAGTAAGGTGAATGGCTCCCAAGGAACCTGTTTACACACACACACACACACACACACACACACACACCACATACACATACACACCACATACACATACACACCACACACACACACACACACACACACACACACACAAATAAGCCCCTTGGTGGTGCCTAGGATAACTCACATCCTTTGCATGGCTAAGGAGGCCTTTTGTGGCTGGCTCAGGTGGTTTCTCCAGCTCTCCCTTGTTCTATTTCCTATGTGGGTTACAGGGTCAGTGATGAGGCTGATCTGAGCTCCTGCTAAGTATATACTTCCTCCTCTGTGTCTTCTCAACTTGAAATGACTGCATTAAAACAATTTTTTTGAAAACTTCAATTTTTTAATTTTAAAGTGTATGAGTGTTTTACCTGCATGTATTTAAATATATCTGTGTGTGCAATGCCCATGGAGGCCAGAAGAGGGCATTGGATTCCCTGGAACTGGAATTACAGTCAGATGTTTGGTGCTGGGACCAAACTCGGGGTCCTTTGCAGGATCAGCTAGTGTTCTTAACTGATGAGCCATCTCTCTAGCACCTAAAACTTTAAAAACTTTAAAGTGTAGTTTTAGGTTTACAGTAACAGCAGAAAGAAAGCACAGAAATTTCCCATAGACCCTGTCTCATATATGCATGGATTCCCCTGCTAGTATCCCCCCACCGAAGTAGTCCATTTGTTACAGTTAATGCATTTTCATTGGCACATCATAGTCACCTGAGGACTGCAGTTTACATCAACTTCACTCTTGGTGGTATCTGTTTTCTGGGCTTGGCGAATGTGTAAGGGCAGGTTTCCATCACTGTAATATCATACAAAATAGTTTTATTGCCCTAAGGATGCTGCTTTTCCTGTTCATTATTTCTCATCCAGCTCTTGGCAACTGTTTCTGTAGTTTTGCCTTTTCTAGTGTTATCATATACTTGAAATCATGCATTATGTATAACCATCTCCTATGGAATTCTCTCACCAAGTCATAATACATTGAATGTTCCTCATGTCTTTTTGTAGCATGGTAGATTATTTGTTTAACGTGGAATAACCCATAGTCTGGCTATATCATTTACCAACTGAGGGATGTTTTGATTCCTTCCAAGTTTGTTCAAGTATGAATAAACTTTATGCAGGTTTTTGTGTGGATATAAATCTTCTACAACTCTGTATAAATAAGAAATGTGCCTTTAATCCCAGCACTCTGATGGAGAGGCAGGTGGATCTCTGTGTTTGAGGCTAGCTTGGTCTACATATCAAGTTCTATGCCAGTCAGTACTACATGATGAGGCCCTGTCTCAAAAAACAAACAAACAAACAAACAAACAAACAAACAAACTAAAAACCCAAAAACCCAACCCAAACAAACAGAAAAAAATGTGACGGCAGGGTCCTAATGGTAAGAGAATGTGTCCATTTGTAAGAAACCGTAAAGCTGACTTTCAGTGTCTACACTGTTTTCCCTCATTATTGATGAATAAAAGTTCCTTTGTTCCACATCTTAAGAACATTTAGTGGTTTTAGTATTTTTGATTTTAGTCATTCTAATAGATATGTTATAATTATGTATTAATTTATATTTCCTTAATGCAAATTAGGGTGGTGAGCATCTTTGCTTATGCAACCCAGCAAAGAATTAAAAGAATTAAAAGCAGGGATTGAGCAACTGTTTATGTACCCACATCTATAGTAATATTAGTCACAATGGCCAAATGTGGGATCCACCTAGGTGTTCATGGGTGAGTAACTCGATCAATAAATATATAATACAATGTTATTCTGCCTTAAAAGGGAAGAAGATCCTGATATATGCTCCAACATGAATAAATCTTGAATAAATGCAAAAAGCTGATTGAAGAATATGTGACTTCACTTCATGTGGTACTTAGAGTGTTCAAATTCATAGAGACAGCATTCAGTAGAAATTGCCACAGGTTGAAGAGTAGGAGAACAGAGAATAATGCTTAGCAGTACACAGAAATTCAGTTTCACAATATTAAAAAAATTAACAACTTGTGGCATACATCTGTAATCCAGCACTCAGGAGGCTGAGGCAGAACAGAGCTCAAGGCCAGAGCTTAGCTACATAGTGAGATTGTCCCTCCTCTCTGCCAAATATTTTGGAACTTAATGGTAGTACAACAGTATGAATATATTTATGTGTAAAAATGGCCTAGTTAGGAAATTTTACATGTACATATTTTATTGCTGTTAAAAAATAATGCAAAAATTTGATACTTGCAGTCAAACATTTGAAAACTGAAGAGGAGGTTGTGTGTTGGCACTGGGGGTAACCTGATGTTTTCTGGTGTCTTTCAGGCCTGGCATTCCTTTGACTGTGCAGGCGTTTTCCGAAGAGGAAAGGAAGCAGTGGTTGGAAGCTCTGGGTGGAAAAGAAGCTGTAAGAATAATCAGTGGTTGAGCTTTGTTTCAGATCCTGTAGAGCTCTCTTGTGTTCATTCCCATGTTACTTTTCTTTTATAATGTTTGAGAATAGTTCCGTGCTGGAACTGGTATTTGAACTCATCTTGGAATCGTTTTGCACTCCAGTAACTTGGCTTGGGGTAGTAGCAGCACACCCAAGAATGGTGCATCATTTGTTTTCAATTCTGATTGGTTTGTCATTCTGATTGGTTTTTTTTGGAAGAAATCACCAAAATTCTCAATTTCTTCTGTTTCACCTGACAGTTTTTTGGGTGGTGAGCACATTAAATGCTTGCAGTGTATTTTAATCTCTGGAGATGGGATGGGAAATACAAGGCAATGTTAGTGACTGCTGCCCATGTTGGGCCCATATTTAACAGTGAGTGGTTTAGTGTAGTGGTTTCCAGTGTGCACTGTTGCATAGCCTTAGAGTGGGCCTTGGCATTGAGATTGCTTTGAGGAACAAAGTAAAGGTCGTGACAGACCCAGAGGCACCTGAATTCAATCTGTCGCCACTCTATTCCAGCACTGCTTCAGCATTGCTTTCCTTGCTGTGCACTGCTGGCCTCTGAGAATTCAGAATTTGGAAGATCATGTATTGAGTGGGATTGAAGCAATTTAAATACACTGTGTAAATTATTATGACTCTAAATAAGCTGCCAGAGCAGGTACTGCCTGGGCTTTTCATCAGCTGTTTATGAAGGTTTGGGAAACAGAGTGATTTGAAAAATGTATATAATAGGAAGTCAGGATTCAGAATAGAGCTTTTTTTTGTGTGTGTGTTTTTGAAGCAGGGTCTCCCTTTGGCCCCAGCTGTCCTCCTGGGACTCACTATGTAGACCAGGCTGGCCTTGAACTCACAGAGATCTGCCTGCCTCTGCCTCCCAAATAGAGCTTTTTAATATGGGTTTGGGACAGTTACTTTAGTCTAAGAGAGCACATTGTTTAAAGTACAGGAGATGGGGCCAGGATGCTGGCTAGCAGTGCATATGGCAATCATGAGGCGATGTCTGAAAAATGAAAACCCAGTTAATATATTTAAAAAACATTGATATTATTTAAGAGAATGTATCACCCTTGAAAAAATAAGCAGGAATCAGACTGGTACGCGTCTTGCCATATTTTAACAGCATTTAGACTCTCTCCCTTTGTTTCCGCCCTTTCTTTATTGATAAGGATGGAACCTGGGCCTCACTCATGCTAGTCAAGTACTCTGCTACTGAACTATACCCCCAGCCCCTATTTATATCTACCCAGCCCCTTTTTATGCTGAATCAGTTCTTAAAATTTTAAGCTGGGAGTCAGAGTACTCAAGAGTTTTGATAGTAACTGAGATTCCATTCTAGTTATGCTCATCTTTTTAGTAAAGGCATGATGTATCTTTCCAGATATTCAAGGAGTACTTTGGAAAAAGAGTTTGTATACAAAAAGATCTCATGAATAAGTCATTGTGGCATAAGTCTGTTTCCAATATGGCATAGCCTTGAACTCAAGTAAAGAGCAAAGAGCCAGGTCATTAACAGATAAGGGCACCTGTGCAGAAAGGCAGTATGAGCTATGCATTTGAATGGGTACCACAAGGCATAGACTGTTTTTACAGATGCTCTATGTCTTGCACATAATGGGGCAGTGCTAGAATTTTTAGCAGCTGCTCAGAATGACCACTGTGCTATCTCAGATAGGCTTAAGCTATACTGAGGATTATCTACTACTTAAGAAAATACTAGATTTTAACAGTAATAGTGAAAAAAATGAGCTTGAGATTATTGATTAGAATGGGTCAGCTTGTCAGTCTGTCACTGTAAGGCTGTGTACTTCAAATTTGTGTAGATTTGTACCAAGTTCTTTAAGGACTATGGACCCTTTTGCCTCATTTTGACAGTTTGGCATACCTCTGTAAGAGAAAACTAAATATAAAAAAACTAAATATATTTCATACCCCATATTTCTAATATTAAATTTATAAATATGCATTTTTGCATGTTCCTACTTGCTTGACTATTTTTATTGATTTATTAAAAGTTTTGTTTTATCTTTTTTTTTTAACTAGCTGTTCCATAGTTTTAATAGAGCCATCATCCCAAGAGCAGAAGGAGGTAAGTGTTAATTTGCCATGTTCATTGTTCCTGACCCCAAGCTTTCGCTGGGGCTTACTCTGTGCCCCTTTTAAGCTAGTTCTCTGAACTGTATGAATTCTGTCTTAACCATTGGGATTGCCTCAGAGTGTTCTGAACTGCGGTAGCCCTCCTGGTATTTCCCACCTGAACTTTTTCTACAGTTACATTGCTCTTTATTTCTATAGTCAGAAATCATCACAAAAGAATTTTAGATATGCAGCTTTCAGCTTCCTTAGCTATAAGATGCTATAGGCAAGAACCGCTTCTTAGGTCCTTGTTTTCAACCCTCCTTGTCCTATCAGTTTTCAGGTTCTCTAAGGTATGATAATGTTTAATTGGGGACATCAAAAGGCTTCAGTGCAACTACCCATGTGGTAGTAAGCTGTGGGTGTATTCAAATAGGCTGAAGCAGGGAGAGAATTTTTAAAAATGTGTATGATTGTATTGCCTGCATGTGTGTAAGGTACCCATGTTATGCAATGCCTGTGGATGACAGAAGAAGGTGCTCGATCCCTTGGAACTGGAGTTACGGATGGTTAGCAGCCATATGAGTGCTGGGAATCGAATGTGGGTCCACTGCAAGAGCAGTCAGTCAGTACTCTTAACTGCTGTGGCATCTCTCCAGCCTTCGTGGGGAGAGAATTTTTTTTTTTTTAGGGAGCAAGATGTTCTGTTTTATTTTGTTTGTGGGGAGCGGGGTCTTACTGTCTAGAATTCTTGCTTTCAGGTGATCCTCCTGGTAACTGGGACTATGGACAAACATCACCATGCCCAGCTTTACCATACCTGTTTTTTTGGGGCGGGTGAAAGGAGAACAGGATCTCTTATAGCACAGGATAGCCTCTAACTCACTGTGTAGCCCGAGTGACCTTGAACTTCTGATCTTCCAACCTGCTTTCACCTCCTGAGTACTGGGATTATAGCTGTGCATCACCATGTCTGGTTTATACAAGGATGATGATTGAACCCAGGGCTTCGTGCACATTAGGCAGGCACTCTACCAACTGAGCTGCATCCCCAGCTCTTTATATGACTTTTTTTGTTAATTATTTATTGAATAACCACATACTTAGAAGAAGCATTTCATTACAACAGCATTGACATATTCAATAACAATTTTCTGAGCTAAGATGCATCTTTTCAGAATTGGCTGTAAATTTTTAGGTTTACAGTTGAATTATTACAAGAACCTTGAGAGTGAGTAGGAAGGATGGACTGGCAGGTTGGCAAGCTGGCAGGCTAGTAGGTGAGGTGACTAAGCAGTCAGATATTCCTGATCAGGGCCAGTTTGGGGGGAAGAGATGACCTGCTCCTGCTGTGAGAACCCTGGGTTTCATCCACTTCTCTACCAAGATATTTACCAAACTCTTAAACAAAAGTGTTACTTTCTGAGCTCCTTGGGATCTAAGTATAGATATAAAGTCATCAGGTAGATTTCAATGGTAATGTTTTTCACATAACACACTCCAGAGCAAGAGTATATCTGTTTCACAAGTGGGTGCAAGTTTCTAGGTTCACAACTGAGTTAATACAATTATACAATATTGAACTCGGTATAAGCCCTCTAAGACATAAAATTGAATGAGTTTTTTAACCTTCAAAAAAGATCTCCATTTCATTTTACAAATATTATTCCTTGCAGAAAGATTCCTTGTTTTTGCTACTAACACTGAGATGTTGGTGCATGCATATCTAATCTATATGCATCTGATTATTACTAGTCATAATCAGTTGCACTTAGATCCCTGGTGCCTGTGTATGTCTATGAAGTCATTGGGTAGATTTCAATGGAAATGTTTATTACCTCTACTAATTAGTATGACTAATAAGTAAATTTCCATGCTTCCTCCTCAAATATAATACATTTTTAAAAATTTGTTGATTTTTTTTTTTATGTGTGTGTATATCATACAGAACATCCCAAACCATCATTCGGCTATACACCCATTTCCCAGATGACACCCTCCCATAGCCTCCCTCCCCCCACTAGAGCCCTTATACTCTGATATCCCTGCTAATGTCTGCTGTGTTGTTGGCACCCCAGCCAATCCCCACTACTTGCCCTTCTGGTGAAATCTAGTCAGCCTATCTAGAGGTCTTTGTTTTAGGAAGGTCAGCTGTTCCTCATCTAGCAGTAATCAATTGTCAATACTCCTTATACTCCTTTAGATAAGATTAGGGTCTGCAGTTCATTTTCCAAGTTCTATGTTGGGTTACTATTTGGGAGTCCCTTTGGTCACCCTGGCCAACGACTCAAAAGAAGGTATCTCCTATCTGGCAATTTTGCTTGTTATGTAGCCTTTAGGTATGCATGTGGACTCTTAAGAAATTGCATTGACCCCTTTAATCTTTGGTTATACTTTCGTTTTGGATGTTTAAGGCCATACAGTTGGCCCAGATAAACCAATTTATTTTCACTCTTAAGGTCGATTGAGGATCTGTTCCTCAGGGGTCACATGGGCTTGGGAGGAGCCCCTGGCTCCTTTCTTTTACCAGTTCCGCCTATGTGAAGATAAGTCAAAGGTCCTGCTCGATCATACCTGGCTTCGCTTAGAAGCATGGAGGAAGTGACTCTTCTGTGTTGACCGTCCTCTTTGTAGACTGGACACTGGTTCAAGTCCATCTTGTGGGGTCTTCTCAGCCTCCTTGATCAAGAAGACAGGTGACCCACCACAATTACAGGACATTTTCAGAGATATTCATAGTCCCCTGGAACTAGTCGACCTAGGAGGGCAAGGAGCAAAAACTGTCCTTTATGGCCCTCTAACCAAATTAGTATAGGCCTCAAAGTATGTCTGTTAAAAACATCCAAGGTTAGTTCCACCAGTCTGGTACTTTTAATTACCATGTGCCATGTAGATAAAGCTTGGGCAAAGACC